AAGCAGGCATCTGACCAGTTAGTAGAATAACCCAGATCTAATAAGGTTTTATGAAACTTTTCATACCACTGCTTAGGGGCTTGTTTTAAGCCGCATAGAGATCTTTTGAGCCTGCATGCCTTCCCTTCTTGTCCTGGATCAACACATCCAGGAGGTTGTTCTATGTAGGTTTCTTCTTCTAATTCACCATTGAGAAATGCTGTTTTTACACCCATTTGGTGAACTATCAACCAGTGTAGAGAAGCCAAAGCAAAAAGGACACGAATTGTTGCTACCTTGGTTACGGGTGAGTAAGTGAAAAAGTAATCTTCACTGAATTTCTGTGTGTAGCCTTTGGCTACTAACCTGGCTTTGAATCTTTCAATTGAGCTGTCTGGTCTCAATTTTCTTTTGAAGATCCATCTACAACCAATTGGTTTACAACCTTTGGGTATATTGACTAATTCCCACGTGTGATTAGACTTTATTGAATTTAATTCACTTTTAACTGCTTCTTTCCACAAAGTAGAATCAACTGAGCGCATGGCTTCTTCAAAGGTGTTTGGTTCTTCTTCCAAGACTAATTGACATATGAACTGATCACAAAGTTCATTTAAGTCTTTCCGTTCTGTTACATAAGTTATAAAATCAAAACCAAAGTTTTTCTCAATTCTAGGCCTTTTACTTCTTCTAGGTTCATCAGTACTAGATGGGAAACTAGGAAATAAAGCAGTAGAATTTTGGTGAAGATTATTAGTAGTTGAATCATAAGCAACTTTCAACGGAAATATGTGTTCAAAGAAAACAGCATTTACTGATTCACACATAGTACGATTCTCCAAGCACATGAATCTATACGCAGCACTATTTTCAGCATACCCAACAAGTATGACACCTAAGGTTTTAGGTCCCAGGTTGGGCCTTTTGAAGGACGGTAGTCCTACCTTTGCCAAGCAGCCCCAAACCTTAAAATACTTAAGAAATTAGGGGCATGCCCTTTCCATAGCTCTTAAGGAGTTTTCTCAAACCCTTTATGCGAGACTCTGTTTAGGATGTGGTTCGATGTTAAAGCAGCTTCCCCCCACAAATAGTCCGGAGCCCCTGAACTGATCAACATTGCATTGATCATTTCCTTGAGATTTCTATTTTTTCTCTCAACTATGCCATTTTGTTGGGGTGTATACGGTGCAGTTACTTCATGTATTATTCCAGATGATTCACACAATTGTTTAAGGAAATTGGATTCATATTCTCCTCCTCTATCAGATCTAAGCCTTTTAATCTTTTTTTCTTGTTGGTTTTCTACTTCAGTTTTAAAAACCATAAACTTTTGTTCGGCTTCATCTTTTGATCTCAACAAGTAGATTTTAGTAAAGCGAGAGAAATCATCTATGAGCGTAATGTAATAACGTTTTCCGCCTTTACTTTCAGAAGTTTTAAAATCAGCTAGATCAGTGTGAATTAGTTCTAACACAGTTGAAGTGCGACTAGTCACCGTTGAAAAAGACTTCCTAGCAAATTTTGCTTCAGCGCAAGTTTCACATTGTGTGCATGCATCATTTGACAAGTTTGGTAACAGATTCATGCTTTTCAGTCTATTTAAACATTTTGCACCAATATGTCCTAGTCTACCATGCCAAACATCAACTGAAATAGTAATGTACGCAGAAGAAGAAGCATTATTATTGCCATTGTTTGGTCCAAGCACATTAGGGATGAAATCATAAGTGGTAGGGGGAGGACCATTTACAACGAAATTATTTTTAACTACACTGACATTTAGCACAAAAAAAACCTGCACGCAGGTATCCCTTCCCAAGGAAAGTCCCACAGCGAGTCATAACCATCCGGTCAGACTCAAAAACCATCTTAATTCCAACCTTGTTAAGCAGGCCTCCGGAAATTAAGTTTCTATGAAGGGAAGGAACATATAACACATTGTGCAGTAATAAATGATTTCCAGAATGAAGCATTAACTCTACTTTTCCTCTACCACTTACCTCGGAAACACTGGAGTTCCCCATGTAGACTTGTTATCCTCCAGTGGTAGGCTCGAACACCTTGAACAGGGACTTATTGTTGCAGAAGTGGTGCGAGGCTCCCGTGTCCACAACCCACTCTTCTGGATCCCCCACCATGTTGGCCTCAGTTATCACGGCAGCAACTATGTTAGTATTTTCCGTGTTTTCCACCAGGTGAGCTTGGTTCTTGGGATCCTCATTGCTTGGTTTCTGACTATTCTGGTTCGTGGACCCTTTGCGGTGGTAGCATTGAGCCCGATGGCCTCGTTTGCCACAAACGTAGCATTCACCATTATTTTTCCCCTATTTCCCATTCTTGAAACGATTAGAGTTGTTGGGTTTTAAGTGTTTCTTTTGATTCTTACTGGTTTCACCAGACTTTGGCCTGTCAACCCCAACATTCGTTTCAACTACATTTGCCTTAATATTATCAGAAATAGTAGCTGACCTGAGTGCGAGTTGATTTTCTTCTTCGATATTCAGGCTGCTGATTACTTGTTGTAGATTGTAATTTCTTCGTTCGTGCTTCATTTTGTTTTTGAAGTCAACCCATGACTCAGGCAGCTTGTCCACAAGTGAGTAAGTCAAGAACGCATCATTCACTACAGCGCCTTCTGCCTTCATGTCTGCTACGAGGTTCTCAAAATCATGTACCTGTTCAATGACAGGTTTGGAGTCATTCATTTTGAAGTGCAGCTAGCGCCCTACGGCGTATTTTCGCCTTCCTGCGTCGTCAGCACCATATTCTTCCTCAATCAAATCCCAGATGACTTTGGCTGATTTGTGAGGAGAAAACATGTCAAAAAGTGGATTCGAGACACATTGCAATATGGTTGCGCGTGCAGTCTTGTTGTCCTTTTCATATTTTGCGCGAGTTGCCTGGGAAACGGACGAAACTACTGCTGTCGATGCGGTCGAAGACTTGGGATCAGCAGTAATGTTTGATGCAGTGACTTGCGTAGCCTTGGCAGGTTGAACAGCAGACACTTCGTATTTCTCAGGGTCTTCAGAGATCACATAGTCCACGTCTTTGGACTCAAGCAACATGATGATTTTTGCAGCCCACCTCTTGTAGTTTAAACCACCAGTTAGTGGTTCAACAGCAGTAACATCAGAGGCGTTGTTGGAGGTCTGAGACATGTTGATTTCAGGTAAACGCTTTTAACTGTTGGATTGTTTGCAACAGCAAAACAGAAAGATATGATATCAACGAATGTCTAAGACACAATGTATGACGTGATTGGTTGGTTGTTTATCTAGGAAATAAAACTTCTGTGTCGTGTTAAGAAACACTTCCTTAAAAGCGTTTACGACCAGGGTATCGCACACTCTAGACAGGAACACAGAACTACAGGAAAAACCTGTATAACTCAGGCAATATTAATGATGGACGAAGACACAGTGTATGCATGGAGTTGTATGTTGCGTGATTTTACAGTGGAGTACGGGAACAAATATATACTGTGTAATAACTACCCACTCACCACAAGTCACACAAATCGTCCTAAAAATGTGGGAAGGTGTAAGACCAACTCAGAGCACTGAACATGGAGTTCTTGTGCGGACAAGATGCTGAGATGATCCATACAAATAGGAGCAAAATATTACTCCCATGAGCAAAACGCTCATCTCGACGCGCGCGCCGAGCGGGCGAGCGGCGGCGGCGCGTGGTTTCCCCTTGTTTCTCCTCCATAATACTTCAAGCCTTCACTAAAGTGTTGATGTATATAAAGGAAGAAACAATGTGTTAGATATCCAATGTGGGACAACTAGCAAAAGACAAAATAGCTTGCTTTGCCATTAAATGCTCCGACACTTACTTCCATATACAGTCTTTTGCCAGTAAGAGTCACAAAGTAATATGTACACAATACACACCTTCAAATAGTAATTTTTGCAGGTTTCTTTCGTAACTCACAAAAATGGTTTTTCTTTTTTAAAAATGTATTTCATGCTATTTTTTGGTAGGGATTTCATGCTATAATTAAAGATCAAGTTGAAATAAAATTTAAGATTTTGGTCGGTGTAAAAGCAATTGTTATGCCATGGAACCGTGTTCACCATCCATGGTGAACACGGTCCCAAATGGTAACGGTGCCCGTAAGTGGCACCGTTATCTTTTGTTTTTTTTTTCCTTAATTAATAGCGGAACTTTTATTCTTCATTTTTACATTTCGCGGTTTCACTTCCTCTTCGCGCAAGCTTCTTCAACACTCATAAATTATGGATGTGCATGCATGGATTTATGAATGTGCAATTATGAAATTGTGAATTTTCTTTTATGAGATTATGATTTTCTGTTATGAGATTATGAATTTTTGTTATGAGATTATGAATTTACAGAAAATTGATAATTACATAACTGTAAATTCATAATCTCATAACAGAAAATTCATAATTTAATAAATATTTTTCTCTTATGAGATTATGAATTTTCTCTTATGAAATTATGAATTTTCTGTTATGAGAGTATGAATTTTCTGTTATGAGATTATGAATTTACAGAAAATTCATAATTACATAACTTTAAATTCTTAATCTCATAACAAAAAATTCAAAATTTAAAAAATGTAAATTCATAATTTGAACATAGAATGCAAAACACCGTTAACAACACATTAACTAATTTTTTTCTTTAAAAATAACACCGTTTTAAAACATGTTCACAAAGCATGGTGAACACGTTTCCACCGCATAATTTGCGGTGTAAAAGAAAGCTGGCATTTATACGTAAGAGTGAGAATGAAAAGAAGATATTTGGGGTGATGAAATGAAATGGGCTGGATACATTGGGTCTGTATGTCTTTCACTTTCATGAACCCAAAAGGGCAACTTTGCACTAAGGAGCATAGGGGCCAGATAGCACTGTGGCACAACTGCCACGTAGCACGTGGCCTGTTAAAATCCCCGCATGACGTGGCACCCATTGAGTCCCAACCCTATTATATATATCCCCTCTCCCATGAACCTTATTTCCATTATATTCTCCCAAACCATTCTATTCTCTGTTTCACTCATCAAACTCTCCACTATTGTCTGATCTTTGTGTTCCTCAGCTCTTTCTTCTAAGTTGAAATCATATTTGACCAAATATGCCACCCCCAAATGACCCATATCCCTCCCATGACTCCCCTTTTACGTCCGTATCATCTTTTCCTATCACTCTTAAGGTAATAAATATGTTACCAATTAAGTAGAAGTTATATATACAAATTCTTTTGATCAATCATATAGTGACAATTAATGATAGTGCATGCATCTTATAGGTCTTTACTTTCTGACCCGACAAAGCATGTAGGATGAGATAAATCAAAAAAATTAATAGATTTACTCACTTTGAGCATAATTTTCACACTGCCGCTGCTGAGTTACACTGATTGAATTATTTTTCATCAGTTGTTGGTTGATGTAATTCGATGAAGTAGTAAATTAAATGTTTCTTTTAGAGTATTTAAATGGGTCTTTCAGGCTAAGGGGTTGGATCGATATATGGTAGGGTGGCTAATGTGTTGATGTTGTTGTTGGGCAGTTTACGGACGTGAGCTATAGGATAAAAGTTGAACGCCACGCGGCAAAGGGAGGGAGGCTAAGAAGGATGTTTTGGAGTGGGAGTGGGCCCACATCCTCTTCTAATCTCGAAAATCAAACGACGCCGCATGATGAACGGACCATCTTGAGCGGGATTACCGGGATAGTTCACCCGGGAGAGATCTTAGCCGTTCTCGGCCCCTCGGGGAGCGGCAAATCGACGCTCCTAAATGCTCTTGCAGGGAGGCTCCAAGGTCACTGCCTCACCGGAACAGTTCTCGCCAATAACCGGAAACTCAGCAAACCGGTTCTCAAGCGAACCGGGTTCGTGGCCCAGGACGACCTCCTCTACCCGCACCTCACGGTCCGCGAAACCCTGGTCTTCTGCGCGCTCCTCCGGCTCCCCGGTTCGGTCCACAAGAGAGACAAAATCGCGACGGCGGAGTCGGTGATCGCCGAGCTGGGGCTGGAGAAATGCGAGAACACGATCATCGGGAACGCCTTCGTCCGGGGAGTCTCCGGCGGGGAGCGAAAGCGGGTGAGCATAGCGCACGAGATGCTGATAAACCCGAGCCTGCTAATCCTGGACGAGCCGACGTCCGGTCTGGACTCGACCGCCGCCTTCCGGCTAGTTTCCACGCTGAGGTCGCTGGCTCAGAAGGGCAAAACCGTACTCACGTCGGTTCACCAGCCGTCGAGCCGGGTTTATCAGATGTTCAGCTCGGTTCTGGTTTTGTCGGAAGGCCGGAGTTTATATTTCGGGAAAGGGAATGAAGCCATGTCGTATTTCGAGTCGATTGGGTTTTCTCCGTCTTTTCCCATGAACCCTGCTGATTTCCTCCTTGATCTCGCTAATGGTACGTCATCTTTTATTCCTCCACCTATACATACATACATACCCATGTTATGTTATGTTATGTGATTATACCCATCATATTTCCATTCTACTCATATCTATAGCAAATTTAGTCTATCACTTTGACTTTTAGGCAACTAGATAAGTAGATAACATAGTATTTATATTTATATAATGTCAAAAACTTATGTGATACTGTCTCACGGATTCTTGTTTGTGAGACACGTCAAATTATAAATAATAGGATTAAAGTATTATAATTTCAGTTATAAATATTACATACAATACTTATCATTAGTAACAATTAATTTTATCTAAATAATAGCAAAATTTCACATATAATATTATAATATCTATCCTAAGTAACAATTTATTTTTAATTTAAATTGATATTAAATTTTCTTCAATAAGTATTACGGAGTACAATTTCTTTTCTTCTTTTTTTTTTTTTTTTTAAATAACATTTCAAATATAAGGATGCAATATTTACATTAGAATTATACATTATAAGTATCATAATGTCAATTATAAGCATTACAATATTTATTATTAATAATAATTATTCACATATAAATATTACAATATCAATTATAAGTAATAATTTATTCATTTCAAATTAGTATTAATTTTTTTTATAATAAATATTATAATTTCTATCATAAGTAACAAACAACTATCTTAGATTCTATCCGTCTCATGCAACTATGACTCTATATAATAAGATAATAAGAAGGACCAATTTAAATAATCTAACTCTACTGTTATAAAATTTATTATAAATAATCAAATATCTCAATTATGTAACTTCACCAAATCACTAATTACCCTAGCTACTCAAATTTACACTTGATTAAGCCTAAATGTATTTTACGTTTACTCAAATTTACACTTGATTAAGCCTAAATATATTATACTTAAAGAAGAAAAATGAAAAAGGGATTTGAGAGAAAAAAATGAAGAAGATGAGAGAAAGAAGAAAAAATAAGACTGTGCTCTAGAAAATGATTTTCACAAAATTTTGGGAAGTCATTTTTCATAAAAACACATTCATTTTTCTTTTGACCAAAATCATTTTTATTTTTGCCAAAAACTGGAAGTCCGGAAAATAATTTGCAGAAATTATTTTTCAAATTTTTTAAACACAGCATTGATAAAGCCTAAATATATTATACTTAACAAAAAAATATTACATATTGTTCAAGCATGTTCTCATTTTTATTAGAACTTTTTTTAAGGATATTATATATATATATATATTACAAGAATTCACTACACAAACTCCAGTTTTGATTCTTGTTGAACATAGATAGTTACAAACCGCAAATTGGGTTTGGTCTAGTTGCAATCTTTACCATCACTTTATCTATTAAAAGTACAATTAAATTCATAGTTATAATATTATTAGATGTATTTTGAGGGTAAAAATATTTGTTAATGTATAGATTATTTTAAGTGGCAAGAGAAACATTACACTCACTACCTGAGAGCTGAGTAAGTATTGAATAATTTGTATTTTTTAATCTTAACCGACAAACTAGATGATCATATGGAGGTCTATAGCTAACCAGCTCAAACTAGGAGTGTCAATTGACAAAAAAATGATTTAATTAATTTGACAATCAATTAATCATAATGTATCAAATTAATATTTATCTGATTGTGAAAGTATATGCAGTCTATCACTATCCTAAATTTAATGTTGTTGTTGGTACTTGGTGATGTAACTTAAGGCATTCAATGTCTCAATTTATTATGCATAGCTTTAAAAGTAGCAAGCAACACTGACCATGTTCAAAACGGGGGTGGGTCATTCTGGATTCTCTTAGATCTAGATCGATCTTATTAGAGGCGGCACATTATTGTGTGAGCAGTGGACCATGATCTACACAGTGTTGTGTAAATTATAATAATAAATACATTTTTAATATATTAAAAGTACATTATTCGTGTATTGAATGTACATTATACAAAATAATGTATTTTCAGTATTCAAATAATGTATTTTTTCTTTAAATACAATGTATATTTTTAATATATTAAAAGTACATTATTTTTGTACTGAATGTACATAATTTGATAGTATGATTCACACAGCTGATTGATTGATTGATTAGAGACAGTCCCCAACACAAGATGTGGTTATATGGTTTCTGCTCCCTGACTTTATAATAATGTCTATCATAAATATATAAAAAGTACGAATGATATTTTTATAAATAAAATAATAATTTTATCTTTATTATTTACAAATATTTTATTGTCTTTTTCTATTTATAATAATTGACATTTTTGTTAATCAGCATTGTACAGTTTTTAAAATATTTTAAACAATTATTAACTCGCATATAAAAAATATAATCTTTTTTCTACTTAGCTTATAATAATATATGTAAGATAATTTGTACTTTATCATTCTTTGTGATAAAAGAGTGTATACAAAGTTATCCCTAAGGAGAATAAATTTTCATGTTTTTAGTATAAATTTTAAAAAAAAAATCTTTATAGATCTTATAAATATATGTAGTAATAAAGGCTGAGTGGAGGATTGTGAATATCAAATGTCTTAAAATATTAAATAGATGGAAAGTGGGTGGCTTTTGTGGGCAAAAAAACCTAGCTAGCTAGTGGATATGTGCCCATATATTTTAGAATTGAATCTTGAAAAAGTTAGTTTCAAGTGGTGGCAACAAAATTAGTGGATAAAATTATTTGTACTCCATATATGTACCCTTTCTCCTGACCTAGTCAGCCCTCACCATATTGTTTCTTTTGTAAGCATTCTTGTTGGAGTACCACACCACACTTTTATCTTGTGATATTTTTAATCTTGGACTATTTTTAGGGTTGTACACTAATAGGTTATGTTCTCTCATTAAAATTCAGAGTATAATTTAGTTATATTGAAGTAGTTGAAACAATCATTCGTTTCAACTATTCTCAAAAGTAACCAGTAACTTTTATAAACTGTAGTAGCGATTAGAGCGGTAGGTCATTCCAACTGTAAAGTTTTAATAAGAATTTAATGGCCAGATGATGCAATTCAGACAATTCAACTGGTCCAATTTTAAGACTATCATCTCTCTAATTATTTCACTTTCATACCCTTTAATTAAATTAGAGACTAATAAGTAGAAGTGATTTCACTTTCATACCCTTTAATTAAATTAGAGACTAATAAGTAGAAGTGTGTCTTAATTACACTTTGACCTTTTGAAGTTGTGTTTACCCTTTTGTTGAAGGATGGGGGGAGTGAGTTCATGTTATGGTTCACCTAGAAAAGAGGACAATATATCTACATACATATTATCTTCTGCACCTGCATTAATCACTTGGTGTAATAAATGTCACATTCCCTACCTATGGGTATGGGAAACATATGGGGAGCATGCATGAGCTGATGCATACAATTTAGATACTATTATTTAAAAATTGCTATATTCTAATCTTATTATATTTTAATATATAAGTTAATATCATATGCAATCCTCCGAGTATAGTGGTTTTGCCACATTTAGTTTTAAACTTTTAAGTTAATCATCCGTGGTCCTTCAACTTTTAAATTGTTACCATCCGTGATCTAAGTTAACTATCCATGACCCTTCAACTATCAAATTTTAACCAGTCATGGTCCTTCTAGGAAGACAAGGGCTGGTTAAATTTTGAAAGTTGAAGGACCATTGATGGTTACTTAGACTACGGAGGATAAGAATTTAAAAGTTGAAAAATCACGAATAGTCAATTTAAAAATTTAAAACTAAACATGATAAAGTCACTATACTCGGAACTGATAACACCATATGACATTAACTCTTTAATATATCTATTATTGAGCATGCAATTAGGTGGCACATATATTTGATATAATGGCATGTAGTGATTCGAATTCAATAAATTAATGAAGACATTATTTGACAAATAAGGATAGCTGTTTTCCATGATGGTTGGTTTCCATCCTTAATATTGTCAGTTTGTCAGGTAGAAAATAGGTTGGTGGGACAAGTCACTACACTAGCTAGGAAATATATATACGATAACTAGCTAATTAAGGGTTTGGATTTAGGATTAAGTTGACAACACTGCTTGCGTAGGATAGCATGAAAAGAGTAATATTATGTTTTTGTTTAATGGTCGACTGCTAAATGTTAGTTAATTATTCTCTAATCATATTTTAACACATGCCCCACATATGCCCTTTCTTAATTTAATTAATTAATTGGTAGTTATTTGATTAGTGTTTTGCACATTTTTACATTATATTAATATTCATAAATCATAAAGCAACTTTAATTTCATTATTATACATATTCTTTCTATTCTAGTGCTTTTATCACAAGGATTGAGTACGAATTTGTTTTTCCATTTTTTAATGGAACAATAGGATTTACGATATACATTTTATTTTTTTTTATTTTGTTAATTATACAATTACAAATTAGTTATTGGTCTATTTACAAATTTCTCACTCGAAATCTCGGAGTTGGGTGACATCAACATGCAACTTTAGCTATTAAATTAGTGTAATGTTAAAATTATAAAATAAAATATTACAATGCTAAAAAATACCATGATTACTATATACGGAGTGTGTGTGTGTATATATATATATATATATATATATATATATATATATATATATATATATATATATATGTGTGTGTGTGTGTGTGTGTGTGTGTGTGTGTGTGTATAGGTTCATATAAGAACTGCTTTTTATATAAAATGATACTGATCATAGTCGTCCATTAAGGTTAATCAATGGTTGAATCTTTTAGTAAAAAGAAAATACAAGGTCAATTTTATACTTATTGTAAACATTCAAGTTTGCAGTATTTATAAAATTGGCCTCTATTTCTTAGTTTTCAATCACTTTCAACCGTTGATCTATTCGAATAGATAGATCATAGACCTGTTTCGCATCAATCCTCATATATATATATCGACACACGCATAGAGGTTGTGGTGTTTTTTTAAATTGAATTTCGTTTTACTTATTATACCCGTATTGCATGGTGTCTCTTAGGGTGCGTTTGGAAACTTAGAAAATGATTTCTAGAAGTCATTTTTTAGATTTTCAGTGTTTGGTTAGAGTGGGAAAATGAAAGTCAATGAAAAATAGGGCGTGGTCAATGGAAAATAGAGGAATTTTTTTTTTTTTGGAAAATGACTTTTCCTATTTATTTTTTTATTTTTTTTTGGGGAAGTCATTTTCCGTTTGCAGCAGTGGAGCAGCCAATCACCCGTCGCCGCCACCACCATCACCACTACCACCACCATCATTTTATATTTTAAATATTTAAAATTAAAAATATGCTCATTTTTCCAAAAGTGAATCAAACACACCAAAACAATTTTCTGGAATGCAATAAAACACTGAAAATGAAATTTTTTTCTGATAAATGACTCATTTTTCATAAGTCCTTTTTTTGCTATTCTAACACACCTTTAGGCTAGTAGTAGTATTATAAAATTTGTAATAATAGTAGATACCAATTTGTGATTTTGTAGCAAATAGAGCTTTTGCAGTTCTTCAAAGATCTTTACCAATCAACTAGACATATGAACATACGTTTTAATTTGTGGTTTGAACACATTTCATATGATTCCACTAAGTGTTGAATATAATAGTGTATGACAAAAATCCTGATCCGATCCAAGAACAAAGTACTATGCATTCACAACTTTAGATTCAACTTTTTCAGAGGTTTGATCACAAGGGCACCACGTGTTTGGGTGTCGAATTAAATTAGCTTATAGCAATATTTGAAAAAAAAAAAAAAGAAGAAAAGAAGTTAGAAAGTGGTGATTTTGATATATAGTGGTCTCGATTCTATGTAAAACACAGCATTATTATATATCATTGTAGCTTAGTGGAGTCCCACAATGCCCACCAACATTGGACAGCTTTTATTTTATTTTGTTTTTTTTTCAGTTCGTGCAATGTTTGCATTTAGTGCATTTTTAAATTTTTACCATTAGGTTTAACATCATGATTAATATATGATTGTGTTATGATATATATAGGATCAGGTTTGCGTGCGGACATTGCTTTTTGTGCGATTAAGTACCATTGGGTATGCATAAATACACAATAAAATATTTTAAAATGCACCATTAGGCGTGATGCATTTATACATTTCATTATGTTGCATTTTTGTACACTGTATGGTACATTTGTGCATACCTAATGGTGCAATCCGCGCCGGCAATACAGAAAGTCATGTCTTTATTTGAACAAGCATAATATATATATATATATATATATATATATATATTATGCACTTTCAATTACAAAGTGTCACTTTTACATTGATATATGCAATCTGCGCCGGGGATACAGAAAGTCATGTCTTTATTTGAACAAGCATAATATATATATATATATATATATATATATATATATATATATATATATATATATATATATATATATATATATATTATGCACTTTCAATTACAAAGTGTCACTTTTACATTGATATATTACACTTTTATACCTACCATTAATATTTTGATTAATGCAATTATCATGCACTTATATAGTACTTTTTCAACTTTATTATACTAATTATACACATTTTTTTTTTTTGAGAAGAATTATACACATTTTTTAACTGTTTATAAAATGTCTTTTTCTTTTTGGTAGGGATAAAATGTCTTTTTCTTTTATACTTTTTACCCCTCAAATTAATGCTCTGGCCTGGGTTGGTTACTTTGTTAGTTATTTTATTTCCCTGTATTTGGTACGATCGGAGTATCATGTTATTGTCATTGATTAAATGTGGAGTGTGATTTGTTCTCATTTTTTACATTAGCATTTTTTTCTCACAGTATATGTGTGTGCGTGTGCATGCATTTGCGTGTGATACATAGAAAGAATCTTTCTATTAGCATAAAAGTATTATTACAATATAATAATTTATTTAAGTGTCACGGGCACGTACATATATATATATATTGATTGAGAAGATGTTATAACATAAAGTGATATATGTGTTTAAGCCCCTCCCGTGAGGACTGTGAAAATAGCCAAATTGCAGGATGTACCTAGTAAAGCAAGGTTTGAGCGCTTGCTTTTTGTCCTAAGACTCAGATCTAGAGGTAAATTGCAGGATGTACCTAGTAAAGCAAAGTTTGAGTGCTTGCTTTTTGCCCTAAGACTCGGATCTTCCCCCATCGAGGATTCAGACTTGGGTTGGGTCATTATGATCCAATTATACTGTGGATCGCGGTCCACAAAGCTTTGTGAATCATGATCCAAAACGGCCGACACTATAGTATATCTAAACTGATACTGTCCCACATATTATTTTTATTATATTATCAAATGAAACTGCAATTGAATTGAAATGAAAATATAGTTGTGATGAAATGAAACTACAGTGTATATAAAATGAAACTGAATAACAATTTCACATATTTGAATGTATATTATCTAGCGAAACTGTAGTTATATCAAAATGATATTGTAGTTGTGTTGAAATGAAACTACAGTGCATATTTGATGCCTAGACCATAATGCATTGTGGACTGCGGTCCACAATATAATTTTCCGGTCATTATATCCACCCACACTCAATCTTTTGACTATAAAGTGGCATATATATGGATTTTTAGTAGGGAGTTCTACTACATAAACTCCCAAAGTTTACTCCCTCATTTATACTCCCTGAGGTGGCAAACCAGGATTGGTTATTTTCATCATGTGGGTCCACTGACAAGTGTCTACATCAAAAGTATGTGAGAGGGAGTAAAAGTTGGGAGTTTAAAATGAGAGTACAGCAAGTATTTTCCTTTTAGTAGGTGTTGAGTAATGTTTGATTATATTGTTTGGAAAAATGCAGGGGTGTGCCAGCATGATGGTGTGGTAAGTGAGATAGATAGGCCAAGTGTGAAGCAAAAACTAGTGTCCTCTTACAACTCCATATTGGCCCCAAAGGTAAAAGCTGCATGCATGGAACGCACACCAACTTTAGCGTCCTCCCATAATGTTTCATCATATCCTAACAACAAACAAAGGAGCTTCGTCATATTTTCCTCCATTTGGTTCAACCAGTTCTCCGTTCTCCTCCACCGAGGCCTCAAAGAACGCCGCCACGACACCTTCAACGCCCTCCGAGTCTTCCAGGTCCTCGCCGCCGCCCTCCTAGCCGGCGCCATGTGGTGGCACTCCGACTACACCGACGTCCAAGACCGCCTCGGTCTGCTCTTCTTCATCTCCATCTTCTGGGGCGTCTTCCCATCGTTCAACGCCGCCTTCGCCTTCCCCCAGGAGCGAGCCATCTTCGTGAAGGAGAGGGCTTCCGGCATGTACACGCTCTCCTCCTACTTTGTGGCGAGGGTCGTCGGAGATCTCCCCATGGAGTTGATCCTCCCCACGTTGTTCGTCACTATTCTCTACTGGATGGCGGGGCTGAAACCTGAGATCTTGGCGTTTGTGTTTACGGTGTTGGTCGTGCTGGGATACGTGGTGGTGTCGCAGGGCCTGGGGCTCTTCCTCGGCGCGGTTATTATGGACGCCAAACAGGCCTCCACCGTCGCCACCGTCACCATGCTGGCGTTTGTCCTCACCGGCGGATTCTACGTGCACCGTGTGCCGCCGTGCCTGGCGTGGATCAAGTACATCTCCACCACGTTTTACTGCTACCGCCTCCTGATCGACGTCCAGTACGGTGAAGGCGAAGGGATTTCGTCGCTTCTGGGTTGCTCACGCGGTAGCGCCGCCGCCGGTTGTAAGTTCGTCCGGGATGATATTCAGGGCCAAATTCATCCCGCCACTAGCGTCGCCGTCTTGGTGGTTATGTTCTTGGGGTACAGGTTGGTCGCTTATCTTGCATTGAGGCGTATTAAGGCCTGAAATATTATCTAGCCAAGATGACAAGAAATTCTACTCTTGAAATCACAAGATCAGAGTTTAAATACTTGCTTCTTTGTCAGCTAGAATCACAATGTTTAGTCACACTGAAAAGATTTTTAGGTTTTTCTCGTCATCATCTAAAAAAACTTGAAATATTTGACCCTGTTAGATGGTGAAGTTTTATTTGTGATCATAGGTTTCTGCTAATTAATGTTCCTGGGATTTTGGTTATTCCTGATGAGTAGCATCAATTAAGCTAATTAAGGAGCAATTTGTAACAGACACGAACCCATAGTTGTTGTCACTTGCTTGACTGCTGGCGAAGGCCAGAATATTGTATTCCTCATCAATATAATATGTAAGTAGTTTTGAACATATTACCACGTTAGAATTCAAAAGAGGGGAAATATTCACTTTTCATTCCCCTTAGGTGACATAGAAAGTTTCTTTAATTTGAACCATGTGGATGTGTAAGTAGTTTTAATCCTCTTCCAAGGATTAAACTTGTAAGTAGTTTTAATCCTCTTCCAAGGATTAAACTTGTGATTATTCATTTCTCACCTCTTTATTTTGCTAGAAAACAAAATCTAGCTACTTAGTAGTATATAATGATATGATGTTTCCAACATGATAAAGGAATGTCAAAAATAGCTAATTCGTAAGTGAGATGTCACTGTCCACCATATCTATCATGAGTGAAATAAATTAAAGTAATGACAGACTTCCTTAGAGTTGAGCCCATCAAAAAGCCCATGGTTTGTGCATCATTGAGGACTCGGCAAATTATATCCTGCACCGCGCGTCAGACACTATAGTGTGTCTAAATCGACACTGTTAAAACGACGTCATTTTATTTAATGAAAATAAACAGAATCTTCGCAAAAAATAACTCCGTTCTTCATTTTCATTTTGTATACACTGCAGTTTCAGTTCAACACAACTACAGTTTCATTTTGATATAACTGCAGTTTCATTCAATATTTATACAATTGAATATGCAAAAAACGTTGGGCGCCAAGGCTTCGGGCGCCGATTTTTTATTTTTTATTTTTTTAATTAAAAATAAAATTAAAAATTAAAAATTTTCAAAATTTAGTAATAAAACATGAGGTTTCCATAGTTATTTCTTAGAAACTATTTACGAAAGTGGTTGTACAATTGTTCAAAAGATTGTTTAAACCATATAAATACATAAAAAAAACTAAAATTAAGAGCTAAAGAAGCATTTTTTTGAGAAATTAGTGGACCAAACCACCTTTGGCGATGTATAGATCTCGAAAAAATACGCGATTTGAAAAAAAAAATTTGTCAAAATCAGACAACCGAGTCAAAAGTTATGCCTTCCCGAACATTTCCCACATTTTCAACAAAAAAAAAAATAATAAAAAATTCCCAACCGGCCGGTTAAGCGGTCTAGGCGGCCGCCTAGACCGCCTAGCCGGCCGGTCGCGGAGGAGGCCGCCGAGGCCATTCCTCGCGGCGGCCTCCCACCGCCTAGCACTTGGGCGCGATTTTTGCAACATTGATAATTTTATTAAAACACAACTACATGATCATTTGAATATAGTTACAGCTTCATTGTACAATATACACTCAAATATGTGAAATCTTATTCAGTTTCATTTTATATATACTGTAGTTTCATTTCACCACAACTACAGTATCATTTTTATATAACTGTAGTTTCATTTGATAATATAAAAATAATACCTGAGCCCGTATCGATTTAGACACACTGTAGTGTCTGACGCGCGGTGCATAATCGATTATGCACCGCGGTGCACGATATAACGACCCTGGGGACTCCTATTGGTTTTCAACGTCTATTGCTTAAAGATCGTTTGGGTGATGAAAACTGCATATTTTAGATTGATCACAAAGTCTCAAAATTCAAGAGAATAAATATAATACAAGAGTTATAATAAGACTATACTACTACAAAATACATTTACCACGGCGATTATTTTTATAAATACATGACGGTTCTTGATGTGACGCGTAAGTGATCACCTTTGTAAACAAAGACTTTCTACGGCGGTTTTTTGAAACGCCGTGTATACTTCATATATACGGCGGTTGCTAACCGCCGTCTAATCTCACAATGTATGCCGTGCAATCTCAACAATTATATGTATAGACGGCGGTTTCTTGATCGAGGAACCGCCGTCTATACATATAATTTGGACCTCAAAAAATATGTATAGACGGTGGTTCCTCAAGAAAACCGCCGTCTATACATATATTTTGGACGTTAAAACATATGTATAGACGAGAGCTCAATGAAAGATCCGCTGTCTATACATATGTTTTAACGTGCAAAATATATGTATAGACGGCGGTTTTTTTGAGGAACCGCCGTCTATACATATAAATTGAACCTTATAAAATATGTTTAGACGGCGGTTCAAAGAAAGAATCCCGTCTATACATATATTTCTTAATATTTATATTTCTTTTGAAAAAGGATTTATATATATATATATATATATATATATATATATATATATATATATATATATATATATATATATATATATATATTTTTTTTTTTTTTTGACTTTGTAAATCTCTAATATCAAATACAATAAAAAGTTGCACAATTTGGATAAAAATGCATACAACAATTCCAGTATTAAAAATTTGTAAATCTCAAATTTCATATGTAATAAAAAGCTATTCAATTGCATCAAAATGCATACAATACAACAACATGATATATATAATCAATCACAACCAATACTAATAACTAAATACTAATTCATTGTCATAATAATGTAGTTGTAATCCAAAAATCAACAAATCTTTTGCACCATAAATTTCTCATCCCATCAATTTCTTCTTGTGAATAGCTTTGAGTATTATTGAACATCTACAAATTTAAACTCAAGTTAGAAAGTAAGTACAATCAAAATAACTAAATCTAATAAGTATGGCCGTAAAAAATATATTGAAGTGGTCATTACTTACCTTGTCTAATCCATCATCCAATTCCATTTGTAAAATATCAAACATATATTTCATCACATAATATCCACATTCTGAATATCCGGATTTTTTAGGGAAGTACAACAAATTTAGAATATAAAATTAATACAATAATATAAAACTAAACTAAACATGCAATTTGTATAAATATGAAGTACTTTGCATGGAATCCATGTCGACGATTTGACTCTATTTACCTTCAATTTATGTTTGACAACTAGAAATTCTTTGAGTACACTAAGAACATTAAAAAAATACATATATTTAAATAAATAACATAACATAACATAACATACTACTTTACAATATAATGAATATATAAATACATATGATTTACGTACTTGTCAATTACTTTCTTAATATCTCCACGTTCTTTAATCCCTTGAATAGAATCGAAGGAATACACTTTCAACTTTTCAGGACAAATACCATACAACATCCAATGATCACTGCTGATGGATATATTATGCTCGGAGTAAACCGACCCAGGGGAGCGGAGCAAGAAATTGGAGCGGCCCAAGACGTCTCACCTCGGTCCAAGACGCCCAGGTCCATAGCGAGCTCGGCCTAGGACGCCTCGGCACAAGGCACAAGGCACCTCGGCCTATGACGCCTCGGCTACAAAGGGCTCGGCCGTGGTAGACCCGGCCGCGTTGTGCATAGTGGTCGGGTCGGGACATTTACTCTCTTTCGTTGTCTACTTCTCCAACGAAGAGAGTGGGGGACTCATGATGGATATATTATGATCGGAGCAAACTGACCCGGGAAGCGGAGCAATGAAGTATGGAATGGACCCGGGGTCCGGAGGTTGAGCCCCGGGCGCAAACTTGGCCACGGTGAGCTCGGTCATGCCGAGCTCGGCCCATGAGCTCGGCCATGGTGAGCTTGGCCCTATGAGCTCGGCCATGGTGAGCTCGGGCATGTTGAGCTCGGCCAAGGTGAGCTCGGCCATGTCGAGCTCGGCCTTATGAGCTCGGCCATGGTGAGCTCGGCCACGGTGAGCTCGGACATGTCGAGATCGGCCCTATGAGCTCGGCCATGGTGAGCTCGGTCACAGTGAGCTCGGCTATGTCGAGCTCGGCACACCCGCGGACCCGGTCTACACCCGGGCGCGGTCAACTCGGAGATCCAACTACCCCCAGATTTAGGGGGAGGCGGTTGGGGGGTCTAGCTTGTATAAAAGCCCCCCTCCTTGTCCTAAAAAGGCATATTCACTATTTTACACCTACTATTGTCCTAATCAAGCCTTGTAATAGCTTATTAGCGATACTTAATATAATATACGGTCCCTGCGACCTTACGATATCCTTGCTTTACATTTATTTATTTCATATCACGTTCTTATCCGGATTCATTGATTCGGGTCTACCCCGGGTCAATTAAATCTATGCATAGAGGTTGGGTCGGTACTTTTCCTAACATGCCTCTCCCCCCGGAGGTAGGCACATTTTGTGTCTCTCCTCTAGGAGGTGGGCATTTATGTCTCCCCTCCTGGAGGTGGGCATATTTTATGTCTCCCTTCTGGGAGATGGGCATATCTTATGGCTCCCTCCGGGAGGTGTGTCCTTTTGTACCTTGCTTCGATAAACATGCTTCTCCTCCCGGAGGTGGCCACATTTTATGTCTCCCCTCCGAGAGGTACTTCCTTTTGCCTTCGATAAACATGCGTTCCCTCCCGGAGGTGGGAACATTTTATGTCTCCCCTCTGAGAGGTGGGCACATTTCATGCTTTGCGTTGATAAACATGCTTCCCCTCCCGGAGGTGGGCACATTTTATGTCTCCCCTTCGGGAGGTACTTCCTTTTGTCTTTGCTTCGCTAAACATGCTTCCCCTCCCGGAGGTGGGCACATTGTATTGACTTGGTGTTTTGAATGGACAATCAGCTCTCCCTTATTGATTCATTGTTACTTTTTTTTTTTTTTTTTTTTTTTTTTTTTTCGCACAATGCCTTATGTTAGCCGCTTGAGCCTAGTCTTCCTGGACTAAGCCACCGGGCTCTTCCGTCGGGGTTGGTACGCGAGGTCGGACCTCGTGCCCCCTTAGGGTACGTTAGCCGCTTGAGCCTAGTCCTGCCGGACTAAGCCACCGGGCTCTTCCGTCGGGGTTGGTACGCGAGGTCGGACCTCGTGACCCCTTAGGGTGCGCTACCCGCATGAGCCAAGTCCTGTCGGACTAAGCCATCGGACTCTCCCGTCGGGGTTGGTACGCGAGGTTGGACCTCGTGCCCCATTAGGGTGCGCAAGTCGCTTGGGCCGAGTCCTGCCGGACTAAGCCACCGAGCTCTTCCGTCGGGG